CTAAGAAGGCGTCTACCCCGGGTAATGGTGCAAAGACGTCATCTGGCGGCGGCCAAAATAGCGAGCCTGAGAACGGATCGGCGCTCTCGTCTCTCCAGCGTGTTATCACCGATCTCAAGTCGATGCCTAACGCTACTGGTGTCTCGCCTACCGCCACTCGCGGCCCTAGCGCTCAGAACTCCCCCGCTGAAGCCCAGCCCCCTCGCCATCGCAAGGCTGCTTCAGCGGGTCCAAACTTCGCCGCCAACTTTGCCTCGGCCGGCTACGCTAACCAGCTCAGCGCTATGCAAGAAGATGCCGAAGATGGCTATTCATATGCTGAGACGGAGGAATACAGCGATCAGCCTGGCTTCAGCCAGCCACAGATCCAGCCCCAAGCCCCGAGTGCTTATCGTAACATGCAACAACAGCCGATGGGCTCTTTCAGTGCTCCTCGCTTCCAGAATCAAGGAATGGGTGCACAGGAGCAAATGAATTTCGGTACCCAAGGCGAAGTGATTGGCCCAAGCGGTCGTCCTCAGCTTGCTCCCAACTTTACTTTTGGTGGCAACCGCCGTCCTCGTGCCCCTTCGCAAGACCAGGACGACGCTAACTTCCAGTTCCCTCCTCAACCTGGTGCGATGCCGAACATGCAGGCCAACGGTTATCGCCCAGAGGTCCCTGCGGGGGTGGGTGGCCTTATGGCAGAGCAGGTACGAACATCTTGATGCGATTGCGGACACTCACTGACTCGCTCTCCGATTAGATCGCGCTTCAAAACCAGATCGAGGCCCTCCAACAGCAACAACAACAGATTCTCCAGCAGCAGATTGCCTCTGGTCAGGTCATGGGCTCTGCGTTCGCCACTCCTCAACTCGGTGGAACGGCTGGCCAAGGTCTTCGCCAGATCCCCTCTGGCGCAGCAGCCGCAGCAGCTGGACATCGTCGCATCCAGAGTCAGGCTATTATGGGTCAGTTCGGCACCGGCCCTCCTGCTTTTGGTATGCCATCTGTTGGAGGATTCGGCATGCCGAACATGCCGATGCCGAGCATGGACTTTGGAATGGGTATGCCTGGTATGGCTAACCGTGGTGGTGGCCATGGCCGCCGCCATTCCATGAACGTCATCAACAAGAACACTGGCCCCATCCCAGGGGACCTTGCTGCTAGTGCCAGCTTTGGTGCCAACGACGGCTTCGAGGACGGTTTCGGAGCTCCAGGCGGAGGCGGCCATTCGCGACAGGCTTCTCGAGCTGAAGGAAACTGGCGCAACAATAGTAAGCTGATATTCTGCCCAATTCTACTTTGGGTCTCCTCTCATCTGTCCTCTTTTTAGATGGAGGAGGACAAGGCGCAGCATTCGATCTCGCCCAAGCTACTGCCCAATTGAACAGCCTTCAGCAGTTCCGTGCTGCTGCTGGCGGCCATCACCAGAAAATGGCCTCTTTCAGCTTCCCCAACATGCTTCCTAACATGGTCGCTGCCAACATGATGGGAATGGGTGTCGGTGGTTATAACATCCTCCAGCAACAACAGCAGCAGTTCCAGATGCAGCTCCAACAGCAGAGCTCGCAGCCTCAGCGCAAGTCCCTCTTCGCTCCCTATCTTCCTCAGGCCTCCCTGCCTCCACTTCTTGCTGCCGGCAAGCTCGTTGTTGGTATTTTGCGCGTGAACAAACGCAATCGTTCGGATGCCTATGTCTCCACCGAGGTCCTCGACGCCGATATCTACATTTGCGGCTCCAAGGATCGTAACCGTGCTCTTGAAGGCGACATTGTTGCAGTCGAACTCCTCGACGTTGATGATGTGTGGGGCACCAAGAAGGAGAAGGAGGAGAAGAAGCGCAAAAAGGAGGAGAACATGGCTTACGAGAAGGGTAACACCATGCCCCGCAAGAACGACAAGAAGAAGGACGACGTTGAGGTCGAAGGACAGGGCCTCACCCTATTTGAAGATGAAGAGTACGTCTTTTCATTGAATCACTCTCTCAACTCAAGTCGCTAATTCAAAACCTTTAGGGTCACTGATGAAGTCAAGCCCCAGTTCGCTGGCCATGTTGTCGCCGTCGTTGAGCGTATGCCAGGCCAGCTATTCTCTGGTACCCTCGGCCTCCTTCGCCCCTCTTCCGCCGCAACCAAAGAGAAGCAGGAGGCGGAGCGCCGCGAGCGTGAGGGCGACAATGGTGAGGACGAGCGTCCTAAGGTTATTGAGCGCCCCAAGATCGTTTGGTTCAAGCCTACGGACAAGCGTGTGCCTCTTATCGCTATCCCCACGGAGCAAGCCCCGCCTGACTTCGTTCAAAACTCCGAGGCCTATGCCGATCGTCTCTTCGTTGCTTGCATCAAGCGTCATCCTATCAGTTCCCTTCATCCCTTCGGTACCCTCGTTGAGGAGCTCGGCCCTATTGGTGATGTGGAAGTTGAGACTAGTGCTCTGCTCAAGGACTGCAACTTCCCTACTGAGGAATTCTCTGAGAACGTTACAAAGGCAGTGCCTCCCACTCCCTGGCTGTGAGTCCTATTACGCTCTTGAATAGTAGATATTTTGACTGACTATTGCTCTATAGTGTTCCGGAGCGCGAGATCGAGAATCGTCGTGATCTTCGTGAGAGTCGCATTTTCACCATTGACCCCCCCACTGCTCGCGATCTCGACGATGCCTTGTCGGTGACCCAAAACGAAGATGGCACATTCGATGTTGGCGTTCACATTGCTGATGTGTCGCACTTCGTCAAAGCGAACACGCCTCTTGACCGAGATGCCCGCAAGCGAGCCACGACTGTGTACCTTGTGCAGCGCTCTGTCCCCATGCTGCCTCCTGCCCTTACGGAGGAAATCTGCAGTCTAGCTCCTGGCCAAGAGCGCCTTGCTTTCTCCGTTGTCTTCACCATGTCTGAAGATGCTCGTATCATCAAGAAGTGGTTCGGTCGCACTGTCATCAAGTCGGCCGCGCAGCTCTCCTACCAAGACGCCCAGGCCGTTATCGACGGAAAGGGCTTGAAGACTGCTCAGGTACACGGAGGCCATCCCAGCAGTGGCATCGAGCAGGATATCTTGGTGCTCCACGTAAGCCATCTGACTTTTCCCAAACAAACCAGGGTTCTTAATTACCATCCTTCCGTAGAAATTGGCCAAACAACTCCTCGAGCGTCGTACTGAGGCTGGAACGCTGCGCATTGGCAGTGCTCGTCTCAGCTTCGCGTTGGACGAAAGCGGAAGTCCCATTGATTGCTTCCCCGAGTCTCGTCAAGATGCCAATTCACTTGTGGAGGAGTTCATGCTCCAGACCAACATCGCTGTTGCTCAGCAGATCGCTGTCCACGTTCCTGAGCAGGCCCTTCTTCGTCGTCATGAAGATCCCAATGAGCGCCGTCTGCTTGCTCTGCAGGAGCGCGCCAAGCGTATGGGTGTGGACATTGATGTCTCTTCTGCTGGAGCTCTTCAGACTAGTCTGAATGCTGTCACTGACCCGACCAAGCGTCGCGTGCTTGACATCCTGTCGGTGAAGGCGATGCAGACTGCCAAATACTTCTGTGCAGGAATGCTTGATATCATCAAGTACGGCCACTATGCTCTCAACATGCCGCTCTACACCCATTTCACGAGCCCCATTCGTCGCTATGCGGATATCATTGTGCATCGCCAGCTCGAATCCGTTCTTCTCTCTGGAAGCGGGGAGCCGAAGTTCTCGATGGATCGTGATACTGTTGCGAAGATCGCGCAGGTCTGCAATGTGTAAGCTAATATCTATCCTCTTCGCTTCACTTTCCCATACTTATCTCTTTGTGCCAGGAAACGAGAGTCGTCGAAGCTTGCTCAGGAGCAATCTGCCCACCTTTTCCTGTGCTTGCTCATCTCTGACTTGACGCAGCGCTACGGTCCCGTCATTCGCCAAGCCCAAGTCGTCGGAGTCCTTGACTCTGCATTTGACGTCGTTCTCCCCGAGTTTGGCCTCGAGAAGCGTGTTCACCTTGAACAAATGCCCATTGAGGTGAGTCTTGCCGTATCTACGTAGGTTCGCATCAGTGCTGATTCCATACCGGTTTAGAACCATACATACGATGAGCATAGCCATACGCTCCAAATTTACTGGTCGGAGCAGGATGTGATCACTTGGCTCGCTGAGAACAGCAATGACGAGCATCTGAAGAAGGTCAAGCAGACGGCTGAGCAGCACGCGGTGAAGATGGAGGTCGCATCCCGTTCCTTCCATGATGAGAGTGCTCTGTTCGATGATGATGACGACGAGGAAGATGAGGTCCTTCTCAAGCGCACCGATGCTCCTCTCGACCTCGCGAAGGTTGGCAACTCGAAGCAACGCCTCATTTCTGCCTCGAGGGCTCCTCCGAAGTTCGAGGGACTGCGAACTCCCGTCTCTGGCCACCATGTCCAGGAAATCCAAGAATTGATGACTGTTCCCGTAAGTTTCTTGTTCAAATATGCATGTGCCCTCCACGAACTCAAACCCCATTCCTTAGGTCATCGTCACTGCTGACTTGACGAAGAGCCCTCCCGTCATCAAGGTTTACGCCGTGAACCCCTATGCTGCCGGCAAGGAAGCTTAATGCGATTTTTTCGCCAACTTTCTTGTGCTGGTTTTCTTTCTTTTTTCTATCTCTCTTTTCTGTCCCCAATTCCTTTCATGCACCTCACTACGCACGAATAACGATTCGAACGAATCCTTCTTCACGAACACTCTATGTTTTGCAGCATGTTACCTCTCGAACCATATGTCGTTTGGTGCCTTGCATGATTACGCTACTTTCTTCCTGGCCGGAATCGGCTTGCCAAAAAATGCTGGCTGTATTCTACCACTTCTCTGTATCAACATCATCTCTTAATGTCGTGTATCCCACTTTGCGAGTGACCAAGTCTGAGGATCTCAAGAAACCAAGTTCCCCACACACACCTTCTGATGGAGCTGAGTAAACATGTACAAATGGAGAGTCTTCTGAAGAGAAATCAGTCCTAGTTACTGGAGACATTGAACAATCCAAAAAGAAACACCAGAATCTACCAAAATGTCACCACTGTGAATCGAACACAGATTTGCACGGCCACAACGTGCCGTCTTGACCATTGGACGATAGCGACTTCACTGGGCGCCAATCCCCATTTAGCAGCCGTCACCGCCGAGCCCAACTAACGCCCAAAATGGGCTTAAATATTGTTTTCTACCTCTGGTGTGTCTTACAAATAGTTTCTGGACATGGGAAGCCCCTTGTCGCGCTGCCCAGAAGCTTGCTTGTGAGGTCCAAAACCTTTGAGGGATGTATTTGAGATTTTCCATCACGGGATTAATATCGGGCTATGCGGGGCGATGCGATTGCATCTCGGTACTAGACTGATAGGTCAAAGGGCTACAAGTACACGTCCAGAACAAAGCGGAGAGGTGGCATGAGCGAGAACATAAATAAAATATACCATGACCTCTGGCAGAAGATACGATCGAGTGACGAACGATCAGACGAGTCCATCGTAAAGTGACAGGGCCTACGAATTCACAGCATCAGACTTCTGCCGATGTCCGAGAGGATATATGTGCTCACCTGAACGATAGTTGGATCTTGCTTGCTGCCCTCAACAAACTCGTCATAAGTCAATTGCGCGTCTTTATCGCGATCCATATTGCGGAAGATCTTGTCCACTCGCTAATTTGGCGGAAAGAAATCAGACGCCTTGCAATGGATGGATGGGCAAAGTTCTTTGACCTTCTCTGGCGTGTCCTCGTCACTTGGAAGCTTCACCATCTGGCCGGTCATCTTGTAGATTGATCGTACAATTTGTAGCATTTCATCGTACGTGATGAATCCGTCACCGTTGATGTCATACAATTGGAATGCCCCTGGAATCGTGAACCAGTCAGCGGCCAGCAGTAACATATGATGTGATGAGCATCACAGTAGATAGACATACATTTTAACTTCTCGTCTAGCCTCCCTCTGCTAGTTACGCTGAGTGCGCCAATGAACTCCTTGAAGTCGATCGTCCCGTTCTTGTTCTCGTCGAAGACATTGAACACATAATCAGAGAACTGTCCCGGATCACCGAAAGGGAAGAACTGCTTGTATATGCGAGTGAACTCTGTCTTATCGAGCTGTCCAGAAGGGCAATCTTTCAGGAATCCGCGATACCTGTGTGCGGGCAAGGCGTCGTTCGGAGTCAGATGGCTGAGTTGATCGAACTGCGTAGTTGGGGTGATCAAACACTAACCATTGTTGCAGCTCCTTTTTGTCGACTGTTCAGAAACAGTTTCAGGTTAGTACTCAATGAGGATGCTCTCATTCAGCTTTGCAACGAGGATCGCGCGCACAGTATGTGTTCTTCTGCAGATCGGCAAGTTGTTCAGGAGACAGTTTGCTTTGAGATTTCCCCATTGCGAATCTTCCAACGTGTTAACAGTGACAAGGGCGTATTTAGGGACCTTTGAGACGGTTTCTAAGAGAGGGAGGGATTAGGAGTGATGAACAATAAGGTGGGAAGCGAGTCTCGAACGGAGATCCCGAAAAGGCTGTGCTGCGCCGAAACTTCGAGGTCTGATGGCGTCCAAACGACAAATACGACACACGCGATCAAGAAATATGGATTCATTGATATCCGGATAAGAAAACTATATTATTTATTCTAACAATGAAAAATCCAACTCCCGACCACTCCAGAACGGAGCGACATCATCACTCCCCAAACTCAACACTTCGGTAATTCGCGTCTTGCTTTTCTGAAGTCGTACAACTTCGCTAGGCTTGGCTGCTTGTTTGTAAAACGCTCTTCCGTGATCGCTGACAAACCCTTGCAGGCGATCAAGAGCACCGATGGACGACAATATGTGAGCTACCAACGGGAGCAGAATTGGCGACGTATATACCCCAGCTGCGCACGCATGCGAGGGGGTGGAAGTTGATTTTGCTGCGGTAAGATGTGGCGCTGAATCAGAACCCAAAAAGAAACGTGGATGACCTATGATGTGAATGGTCAAACATGTAAAGAATAACTATTGCGATTGTATTGACCTTCTTTGACGACATCCAAAAGGGCCTTGCGATCATCAGGATACTTAGCCACCGGCTTGCAGAAATTGAATGATTGTCCGGCCCAGTCGTCCACGGTAAGAGCGAGATGGTGGGCTGTTATTGTACAGCCAACAGTGGGTCCCAGGGACTTGACAGTCTCAACAGCTGCACGAGATGTTGCATGCTCGAGAACAATGCGAAGTTTTGGGAACTCTTTATGAAGACGGATCAAATGTGGGAGGAAACGCTCCTCAGCATTGAGGACACAAGTATTCTGGGTTCGATGATATGAGCTCATGTAGAGTTTGGGCGGGTCAGAGGGGCCATACCGAATCGGCGTCGGAGGGAATCTCTCCATGTAGGTTCAAAACCATGTCTTCCTCCTCCATAGCCTTGAAAACAGGGTAATAGACTTCGTACGACTCGATGCCGCCATCTGAGTTTGTGGTAACACCTCGAGGATATGACTTCACACCTGCAGAGGCACAGCCAATATGAGCGGGAAACGAATTTCATCCTAATTCGAGGCACGAACTGACCGGTTATACCAGCTTTCTTAGCTTTCCTGACCTCATCGGGAGTCAGCTCGGGGGAGAGGTAAAGTGTCATAAGGTATTCAACGCTTGGATCGATGGCTTCCAGGCTTTTCTTGTACTCAATAGCCATGTCCGTGGTAGTCACGGGGGGCTTGAGATTAGGCTAGCTCGAAAAGCTGCATTAAATGAACAGAAAGTACGGGAATAGTGATTTATTTGCCAACCATCACGTAGGCCAAACCGAAGCCTCCTTGACGGACATGAGGGGTGACAAGGGAACTGAGAGTTCCCTGTCTCAAATGGACGTGGAAATCTGCAGCACCGTGGATCTCGATAATATCTGAGGAAGCCATTCGACTGATTATCTAAGGAACGCGAAAACAACACCATACCAACACAAACACACAACACGTCGACCATACTTCTCCGCGCGTGCTTTCTTGTCTCTTTAATCTACGTACTCCAGTGTTAAACTCTAGCGGGAGGTATTTGAAATCTTGCTCCAGCCCCCATAGCTATGATGGCTAGCCCAGTAACCAATGGCCAGACTGCCCCAGGAGGCGGGTCTTTAGACATTACTCAGAAGAAGATTACTTTACAAGAACAAATCGACAAATACGCATCACATCCCCTGTTTACAAGCAACCCTCCTGTCCGTGTTGAGAGCTCCAAGCGATCTCAGCGGTTCGAAAAGCTCATCGACTTGGCCATCCCAGAATTCCTCGGCAACTTTCCGATAGGAGGGCAATGGAATAAAGAATTGACGCATTTCGCAGAAGCACTGCTTACTATATTCTATAACGGCACGCTTCGACTCCATGGCATCTTTTCTGTGGAAGAGCTCCGCGAACGTACCTGGCTTATCCACCTGGTATCATTCATCAGACGGATGGATGAATGGAGTAGTCGTGAGGTGGAGTCGGTCCGAGAAACCCCGACACCTACGGAGCTGGCGGACCGCGCGATTGAAACCGCCTCAAGTCTTCTCATATGCTTAGGCCTTGAGACGGCTGGCTTTAGGGACAACTGGGCGAGGTTCCACAACGTTATTCAACGTCTACTGCAAGCATCCAAAGGTAGGGCGTCTAGGACAGTTATCACATTAGCCCTTCTAACATTCTCGTATAGACATTACGACCCCTGGTGCTACTCAGTATCCGTACAAGAAGGATTTACTGAATGTCGCTGCTGATGAACCAGACAGTGATCCTTTCGAGGAAACGAAGCAAGTGAGTCATCACCGACACCAAATTTGTTCACTCCCCTTACGACCCTGCGCGAAAGAAACGTCCCAATATAGAAATCACATCCCAGATCGGGGGCCAGAACCTTGGTGCTGCCATTGTCGAGATCGTAGTTCGTACCATCGTCCATCCACTCCCAGGACGACTATTTCTCGATGATGTGATATCAAACTCTCTGGCGATTGCATGTCAAATGGCACATTCTGTCCTTGATTCGACCGAATGGGCTTCATCCTCTGCTGCACCCTTGGTGAAAGCACGCCGTGTCATCCAAAGCCTCGTTCTCCTGCTTGAAGACCGGACAGTCATAACATCGACATCACCCGCGCCCCAAGTTCTTTGTAGGCTCTTGAACGCCAGAGTATCGTCGGACGATGATACTGGATCTCCCGAACTCGAGATCGTCGACGGTTTACTGCTGAGAGGGATTGATGCCCTGCCTTCGGAGACCATTTTCCCGACATATGTCCCTCAGTTTGCAGATGTACTGGTTGATAACGAGTGGGGATCCTTGCAGAGTAAACTAAAAGTGAGACTTGTTTCTTTGGACAGCTGACAAGAATGTCCTGACTTGTTCCAGGCGGCGACTATCACATATCTCAGAAAAGCGCGCCATGTGGTGCAGAGCTCTGTTGTCTCCTATGTCCAGAGAAGTCTGGAACGGGCGCCACATCCAGGGGATCCTGCTCTAGATATTCTTCGTCACGAATATTCCGACGCAGCAGTTGCGAATTTGGGTGACCGGAACAATGGAAAAAGGAAGCGCGATACTAGTTGGAGGGATGAGTGTCGGGAAGCGTTGACCACCCTGTTGAAGCCTACGTCTGACGTTTGGGCAAGGGCTGAGTCGTTCGACGATTTCCCATGGTTAAATGCTGTTTTGCGAACTCTCCAGGATAGGTTTTCTGGGTTAGCTTCTTACTTTCTGCATTGACGATCATCTACTGAAATATCGTTGAAAGCCCTGTTTCAGAGCAACTAACTGTCCGCGAAACACTCGCAGAGTCGCTGGCTCGATTCACCGGTCTGTTACGCCCTACCAACCTTGCGGCCGCGCACGATTCGCCACCCAAATCAGAAATGCTTTTTGATGTCCTTTCAGCCGCCCAAAAAGCTCTCTCCGACCATGAAACCTCCATGCAGCATAGCACGATTCTTTGTCACGTATATGCATCCCTTGCCGATGGCGTTTTCCATGCCTCATCTGATTCTACGTGGCTCGTGAGGGTCCTCGATAGTGGTCGGAGGGGCCTGGTGCACCCACATCGAGCTGTAAGAGTGGCTGCCGGGTAAGTGGTATATTT